ATTATGGCCCCATGTTAAAAGGCTTGATTTTCCCCTGCAAAGACAGGAAAGCCGGGTCATTTGGTACTTGCCCTGTTTGAGCAGTGATACCCCAGATAGCTATGCCATGGAGCCCATTCGTATAATGAAAGACTATTGGAAAGACTTTGGCTCCATGGCAATTGAATTGTATGTTTGTGCTCTGAGCGCCATTCAGTAATAATGTGCGCTCAGACCTAAGCTATCTGGGCATATGTTGCATGTCTGTATTTTATGTCATAAATGTAACCTTGTGTATTTTATTGTATTTTACTGTCTTTTTGCTGCCATGTGTTCAATGGAGTTTTGCCTCTGTCTTTGGAGATAATTGGATTACTTCTAATTATCTCCAGGATAGAAGACTCTGTGGAACTGGTTTTGAGCAGAAAAGCCATGCTTCCTGTGGTCACAAAGGACTACGATTTATCTTTTGAACCACTGGACCAATTTGTATGATTTTGACGTATGTTTGTATTTGGAGTATGCTGATTCTGAAAATGTAAGTTTTATGTGAATGTGGTGCATACTTTTCAAGTTATGAATAATGTGGAAAAATTGTATTTCTCTGCTTGTGCTAAATTACATTACCCATTGTGTAAGGTAATTGAATCACAAGCAGAGGGGAGGAATTTGTGTGGGAGTGTCTGAGTGTATTGTATGTGTTTATTGGTTGTGTTCCAAAACCCTGTGGGTGGTACTAATGTGTAAGAATGTGTTCATAAGAACAATAAACCCACAGCTCTGACTGTTCACTGCTTGACCCTCAACACGGAGCTTTGTCTCGTTCTTGGGGGGATTTATTGTATGCTGTTCCAGTTTGACTGCTAGGAGTGTAAACCTATTTGTATGGTTTTTCCTATTCGGCTGTTTACAGCATTCATATGGTTTCCTGTTCGGCGGATTGGTGTTCTGCAGTAGCTGTGCCTGTGTCTCTGGAAGGGGAAGATCTCCTAAATGGCAGTTTAACCCTTTTATGCCTGGGGGTGCCGTTACATCGAGGATATAATCTTTCAATGTAGGGTAATAACTGCTTGACCCAAGGATAAATCTGACTGCCATTCTGGGGTCAAGAAGGAATTTCTTTCCCAGCTTGTTGCAAAATTGGAAGTGCTTCATACTGTGTTTTTTTGCCTTATTTTGGATCAACCACAAAAAACAAATGTGAGGAAGGCTGAATTTGATGGACACAAGTCTCTTTTCAGCTATGTAACTATGTAACTATGTTATTCCGCGGCCCCTGTTATCCAGGTCTTCCACCTGGCGACACAGCTCTTGGAGGATCGAGCCGTGTCGATAGCCAGCTAGAACCATGACCTGTCTGTACTGGACTGTGATCATGTGGTTTGTTCCACTCTATTTTCAAGAGTGGAAAATCTCATCTGACCTCAAAGATCTCCTTGCTGATTGCTGAGCGGAGCTCCGCCACCAGCGCTGCCATATCGCCTGTGGTTAGCATGTTGGCTGAGATGGCAGCTAATTCAGTGGAAATCTGTCAGCGTCTCTCCCCCCTACAGATCCAGGTACAAAGTCACTGACACTCTTAGGTGAGGACGTCACCATTTTGACTGGCTCTCGGGACTGTCCCGGAGTCTGTATCCGACGGGTTTCTACCCATTTTGGCGATGAAAGTCGCGGTTATAAGGGGCTTTTGTGGGTCAGTGCCTCAGAGCTACAACGATATGCGACCCACTTTTCTGCTTCAGAAAAGTACTTACCTACTAACAACCTGAGTCCAGGCTGTGACAAGGTTGACAAAGCCTCACTGTGAGGCCCAAACATTAGTCTAATAAAACACAACACACAAACATACTGATGTAGATAAGACACACACTGACAAATGCAGACATACAGTCACAATCTATACCTGGCTGTGTGTATTTATGAGTGTGTCTAGCAGTGTACTTGTGTATGTGCCTGACAGTGTATGCCTGACAGGGAGTATTCATGTGTGTAAATGTATGTCTCTGCACGTACGTGTAGGTTTGTTTTTTGGGACTTTAAGTGTGTGGGGTAGCTGCTTGTTGTGTTTATGGGAGCTGCTGGTGACCTTTGTGCATTGAGTTTATGTCAAAGCTATGTTTCATAACTGTGTGTGTATGATGAAGGCCTTCAGGGGATGACTGTGATAGAGGTGAGTGTAACAGGGCAAGGGGGTGAATGAAGGGGTGAGTGTGACAGAATAATGAAGGATGAGTTTGACATTGATGAGGGCAAGTGTGACAGGATTAGGGGGTTAATGTGACATGGTGAGTGTGGCATGGTTGGTGGAGTGAATATTACAGGGTTGTGATGAATGTTGCCTGGTTGGAGGAGGAAGTGTGGCACGGCGAGGGGAGGTGAGTGTAATGGAATTTATGGGGGTTAAAGTGACAGGGTGATAGTGTCAGAATGTGACAGGATTAGAGGCGTTAATGTGACAGGGTGAGTGTGAAGTGAGTGTTCTCTTTGTTGTACTTTATGGGGATTAGGATGTCTTGTTCCCCGGTGCAAAAATAATCTCATCTTTGTGATGCGGACGTGATCCTCTGTTTCCTTTGTGACTGGCTGGATAAAGTAGCCTTATCGCTTTGTCAGCTTTCGGCAAAATTTACGCTATTACTTTGTCTTGTTTCTTTCCATCGAGACAAATTCTTTGACAGTTTATTTTACCCGTTCTTTTAAGCAATTCCTCCACTCTTTAAGGCATTATTACAATATGTAGAGGTTACCTCTGCCTTGCGACTTTCTAGATCGGGGCAACTCCTCATTTTGTATGTCAAGCCACACAAACTGATGTAGACCACTACCTTGGAGAGATGAATTCGCATGCAACTATTGCTAGCTGGGGTGGACTCCTGTTTTGGTGTCCATACAGAACAGAGTGTGGCTGTGTCGCAGGCTTCTTCGGCGGGAGCGTCTCTTGCTAACATTATGCTGACTGGAGGATGGGTGGTTCATCTTAAGGTAGGGGAAGAGGGGCTTGAGGGACCTTCCTAGGTACTGTGTTGAATTGGGGACGGGGGTGTAGTGTATTATGTTGGGGGAGGGATGGGGGAAGTATATTAATTTGAAGGAGGGAAGGGGGCAGTGTGTTAAATTAGAGGAAGGACAGTATATTAAATTGGTGGAGGGGCACAGTGTATTAGATTAGGGGCCAGTGTAATGGATTGGGGAGGGGCAGTGTATTAAATTTGGGGAAGGAGGGGGTCAGTGTACTAAATTAGAGTGGTAGTAGTGAGGGCAATGTATTAGATTAAGGGGCAGTATATTAGATTGTATGAGAAGGCAGTGTATTAAAGTGGGGGGAGTGTATTAGAGTTGGGGGTGGGGCCGAGGGAGGCTATGTATTAGATTGGGAGATAGGCAGTGTATTAAATTGGGGAGGCAGTGTATTATATTGAGGGGCAGTGCATTAGAGTTGGGGGCAGTGTAATTGATTGGGGGCAGTGTATAAGTTGGGGGCAGTGTATTAGTTTGGGGCAGTGTATACGAGTGGAGGAAGGAGGACAATGTATTGGATTTAGGACAGTGTAATGGATTTGGCGGCAGTGTATTGGATTGGGGGCAGTATATTAGATTGGTTCTGCATGGAGGTGCTGAATGCTTCCCATGGAGATGCTGATTGGCCGCGCAGCGTTTTGCCACACATGCACCTGAGCCTCCCAATGCTTTCCTATAGGAAAGCATTTGGTTGGTTGAGATCATCAAGTTGATCTAATCCAAAGTGAAGAACACACTTATAGGACTTCAAAATCCACAAGATAATGTAATTTGTTTTTTACAGCTGTGTTACAGCATACATTTACCATTTAAGTCCCATTACCAAACTTTTCTTAATATGTCAAAGTAGTTCAGCTGAAACATTGGTTATATGCAAATATACGTCTCCTTAAAATAAATTTGCTTTGTTTAATTTAAAAGCCCTACGAATGTGAGGATGTTCAGAGTCAGTTAGGCAACTATTTTTATACTGTTTGGTTTTTTTATGCGGTCCACATAAACTTAAACCTTATGTATTTGGCCGTGTTAGCCTTTGAGTTTGACATGCTTGGTCTACAAGATACCTGAGGTTTCTGTGTTTTTACCTGTCTGAAGATTTTACAGGACTTGCTTATTTTTATTGTTTCTTTTTACATGGTATTGTTAGTGCGCATCCAAGAAAAAGGAAGTGCTTGGGCTATCAGGGCCTTATATCGCATGACATTTCTTGAATGATCTGTGCTGCTAGAGTTCTGTAAAGAGAGTTTAATGCAAAATATTCACCTCCTGTCTTTACTAAAATTAAGATTACAAGTACACTACATTAGCATGATCTATAATTTCTTAACTTCCGATCTCCATACAGACAAATCACAAAATAAAGGGAAAGGGCACTAGGCAAACAAGTTTTTTTATTTTTTATTTATATTCTTTTTATTTGTTTTTCAGCAGAAATTACATCATAAATGCGACGTTATACAGTTACAAGTTATTAGGCTTTGTACCTATTTAATATGAACAATCAATGTTTAACAGTAAAATGAGCTACATAACCATTGTCACGTGTGTTGTCGGAGTATTCCTTCACCTAGGAACCTGAATAGTGCAGTTTACCAGTTTAACTCTTGCATTGACAATAATTATCACAGCGTTCTTATATAGGACTTTACATAGTGCAATTATACAGTTTAGTTATCACATTGTCAGTAATCATTTTAGCGATTTTACAGAGGACTTCACATAGGAGATGAAATAGTTCAGGTTAACGGTATAACTATCTCGTTGTCAGTAATCGTTTCGGCGATTGTGTTAGATAGAGCCTCTCCGGTCCTATGTGAGTATTATTTTTGGGTATCACTATACTGGGATGGGTCACTCACCTGGCATATTTGCCTTATTTAGGAAATCATTCAAAGGTCCCCATATACGGTGTAATGTGTGAAGGTCTTTAGTTGTGGCGAAAGTAAGCTCCTCCATTTGTTTTATTCCTTCTACCTTATTAAACCATTCTCTAACAGAGGGGGGTTGCGCCTGTTTCCATTGTTTTGGTATTAGCAGATTTGCTGCCATGAGGAGGTGTGTAATGAGTGATAAAGTATGTTTCTTTATACATGGGGGTGGGAGAAGGAACAGTACATATTCCGGGGAGAATGGTATATTTATTCCTGTGGCAGTGTTAATGAGCTTAATCATTCGTTTCCAAAAGGCTTGTATGTGAGTGCATTCCCACCATATGTGCGCGGGATGAGCATTGGGTTGCTGGCATCTCCAGCAAGCATGCTGCGTCGTTGTGTATATTTTGTGTATCTTGGCTGGGGTATAGTGCCAACGGGGCAGTCTCTTATAGTTTCCCTCCTGTGTATTTAAGCAGGTGGATGTTTTGTGGACTCTCAAAAATATTTGTCTCCATTGGGTAGTGGAGATATCTAAATGCATTTCATTACACCATTTCCCCACAAAAGCGGGCAATTCCTTTTCCCGGGGTCTAAGCAATAGTTTGTACATTGTGGAGAGCACTTTTCTTTTCAGTTTGTGTTCGGAGCACAGCTGTTCAAAGTCAGTGAGTTCTCTCTCTCCTTTTGGCAGGAGTTGCATGGTTCGGATAAAGTGAGTTAGGTGGGCGTAGTGTAACGGTGTCTGTGAAGCAGCTAAGATTTGAATTGGTAGTAGGTGACCTTCTTTTGCCACCTCCCTTAGTTGGATGTACTCTTTCTTCTGGTTAGGGTTTAATAGTTTGCCCGTCTTACCCGGCTCATAATGGGGGTTGTGGGTAATTGGGTATAGTGGTGATGGAAAGTTTGACATGTTTTCGTTGGTGTGTAGGGGTTGCCATACCTTGATAGTGGCCTCTATTGTGGGATGGTGTTTGTGACGTATGAAAGGACGGGCTGTCTTATGCCAGGGTAACGTCTGTATAGGGGTTTCTAGGAACAAGTTTTCTATCGCCGTCCACTGGTGGGGAGAGGGGACTTTAGTCCACTCGTATATTCTGGCAAGGTGTATAGCTTTGTGATATAATTCCAAGTCTGGGAGACCCACTCCTCCACTTTCCCGGGGGGTCGCCAAGGTAGAGTATGCCAGTCTGGGGTGGGAATGTGACCAGATGAAAGTAGTGACGTTTTTATGTACCGTATCAAAGAATGACTTTGGGATAGCTATGGGTAGAGTTTGGATAGGGTACAGTAGCCTAGGGAGCACATTCATTTTAATAATGTTAACCCTGCAAAACCAACCGAAGCCCGGTCTGTGCCATTTGGTCAGGTCTGCAGAGATTGCTTTTAAGATTGGGAGGAAGTTCAGTTCGTATATGTGTTCTAATTTACGTGAGACGTGTACCCCTAGCTATTTGATAGACTTAGTAGCCCAGCTGAAGCGGAATGATGTCTTGATCTGCCTCTCTAATTCTGGTTTGAAAAGTAGTGGGAGAATTTCGCATTTGGTAAGGTTTGCCTTAATGTTGGAGACCGTACTGTAAGTCTCCATTTCCCTGAGAATTTGAGTAAGTGAATGAAGAGGGTCTGCCACTGTGAACAAAAGATCATCCGCAAACGCAGAGACCTTGTATTCTATGTTGTTGACAGAGAATCCCTTTATCTGATGGTTATCTCTTATCCCTTGCAGGAACGGTTCTAGCACTAGAATGAAAATTAGTGGTGAGAGAGGACAGCCTTGTCTTGTTCCATTTCGGATTTGGACCGTATCAGATAGTTGGCCATTTATTCTCAGTTTAGCTGTGGGGGAGGAGTATATAGCTTCAAGCCACTCCATCCATCTGTCCCCAAAACCCAATCCTCTCATCGTGGCCAGCATAAAAGACCAGTCCACTCTGTCAAAAGCCTTCTCGGCGTCTATTGACAAAAGTAGACTGGGGGAGGCTTTGTGTGTGGTCCTTGCCCAGTGTATCAAATAGATAAGCTTTGTGGTGTTGTTTTTCGCCTCCCTATTAGGCACAAAGCCCGCTTGATCCTCCTGTATAAGATCCGTGAGTAAGGGCTTTAGTCTAGTGGCCAGTATCTTGGTGAATATCTTCAGGTCTAAGTTTATTAGCAAAATGGGTCTATAGCTCCCGCAGATAGACGGGTCTTTTCCCTCTTTGGGTATCAGTGCTATGTGGGCTTCTAATGCGGAGTGTGGGATAGTGTGTTTTAGGTCCCTTGTGTTAAAGGCTCTAAGGAATGGCTGTAATAGGTCCTGGGACAGTGTTTTATAGTACCTGCCCGTAAAACCGTCTCGGCCTCGGCTTTTCCCTAAGGGTAGCTGTGTTATAGCGTGTCTGAGTTCTTCCTCTGAGATAGGAACATCTAAGAATTGTCTCACATTAGGTGTGATGGTCTGCTTAATTCTCTCCTGGAGGAACTTTTGTATATCTGCAGGGTCGGGGGGGTAGTCTCTGAGATTGTAGAGTCCCGTATAATAGTTTGTAAAGGCTTTTAGAAGGTCTGGCATCTTCTGAGAGACCGTCCCATCCTGTAGCTTAATGTCTGATACAAAGGTTGAAGGCTTTTCTTGTCTTAGGGCTTGGGCCAATAGCTTACCACTTTTACCTCCTTGTTTGTAATATGTATGTTTAGTTAAGCCAATTTTCCTTTTTGCCTGGAGTTGTAGCGTGGTGGTGAATTCTGATCTTTTTGTTAACAGTGTTTTATATGTCGTGATCGACAGGTCGCTGGTGTGTTGGTCCTCTAGTTTTTTAATCTCCTCTACTAGGTTGTTCACTCTACTCTCTCTTTGGCGTCTGTGGTCTGATGCCAACTTTATAAGCGTCCCTCTCATTACACATTTGTGTGCTTCCCAGACTACGGCTGGGGCGGTGTCCTGCTGTTCATTCTCTGAGAAGTAGTGTCTCAAGTGTTCCTGTATGTTTGCTATGTAGGTAGGGTTATTTAGGAGAAGGTAATTTAATCTCCAGTGTGGGCGCATCTCTGGGAGTGAGGCGATTGTGAGGTCCACCGAAAGGGGAGCGTGGTCTGACCACGTTATCTGACCGTACGATGTGCTTTTGAGTAGGGGTAGGTGTTTGTGATGTAGAAACAATGTATCTATTCGGGAGTAGCTACCCGTTGGTGGAGAGTAAAAGGAATAGTCTTTTTTCGTCGGGTGGAGGGCCCTCCAGCTGTCGTATAGTCTGGCTTCATGTAAGATATTCCGAAATCTCTTGCGCCCCGGGGCTAAATAGTCGCTGTGGGTAGAGGTGGAATCTAATTCGCCGTCTAGAGGTATGTTAATATCACCTCATATAAACAGTATGCCTTCCTGAAATCGGGTGAGTTTATTCAGAATCTTAGACATTGCCTGGCATTGTTTCTCATTGGGGAGGTATATGTTCGCTAACGTGACTTTCACATTCCCTATTTTCCCTTTCACAAATATATATCTCCCTGCCTCATCTTGAAGTTGGTCGTGAAATTGAAAAGGGAGTTGGTGACTTATTAATATCGCCACCCCTCTGGCCTTTGCCCCAACATAGTGACTGAAATAGCCCTTGGGGAACAAGTTTGTTTTATTTTAGTTTGTTTTATCTCGAGGGCTGTGCCGTTCCAGTGGAACTTGCTTCCCTCCTCCGTTAGATGCTCACCCAGTCTCCACTCCTTCAAAAAAATTGTTAAAAACCCACTTCTTCATAAAAGCGTATCAATTAAAATGTTAATAGCTCCTGACTGATTCCTCTTCTGCAACTGTCACTAGTCTAATACTATCCTTACCTTTTTGTGTCATTTTACCCCACTCCCTTTAGCATGTAAGCTCATTGAGCAGGGCCCTCAACCCCTCTGTTCCTGTGTGTCTAACTTGCCTGGTTACAACTACATGTCTGTTCGTCCACCCATTGTAAAGCGCTGCAGAATTTGATGGCGCTATATAAATATCATAATAATAATAATAATAATTTGTGACTTGGAGTTCCATGGTGCCAATGATGACTGATGCCAAAATATGATCAATGGGAAAAATATGTTTGATGGTTAGGATATTAATGTAGTCAGGCCAATTTGAAACCTCCACTGACAACTTTGAGAGCTTAACTGCAAAACCAAATTGTTAGTATCTCTCCGTGTCAGTCCACTTCCTGGTACGCCTCCACAATCGACGTGTTTCATGGAATTATGTCTTACTTCATAGGATATGGGCAGAGTTCAAATCTCCCACTTTTATATACCGTTACAAAGTTACACATTTGTAATCATTTAGATAAGGTTGAATGTTGCAGACTTATTACTGAACTTCATGTGGTATGAAAAAAAACATAAATAAAATAATTAAACCCTATTTAAATTATAACAACAGAATATATATTCCAGCATGTATTAGAGCAATAATATAAGCATAAGCAGACCGGCCCCTCTATCTTAATTGAAATATAACCTCCTATAATGCTTTAACTTCATATTTGAGAGATACTTCATATTTATTTAATTTTATACCAATTTACTATAGACAGAGGAGTGCATGTTAGTTATTCTTAAAGGAAAACTATAATGTTGGGAATACAAATGTGTATTGCTAATACTATAGATTTAAAACAACTGTTTGGGTCCCTGATTCCTCTTACCCTCCTCCCACTACCCCAAAATAGAAAGGTGATTTACTCACCTTTTTTTTCAGTGCTGGTGATATCCTTGCTCCGCCTCCTTGGCTGTGATCAGCAAAATTAACAATCTCAGCCAATCCAATGCTTTCATATAGGAAAGCAAAGGATGGCTATAGCGTATGCGCGACAAGAGAGATTAATTTAATTAATATATCTCTATAAGGAACATTCAGTGTATCCATGCAGAGCATGAGACACATTGTGCACCACTGACCCTCTAGTGGCCGACTGAGTGACTGTCACTGGGGGTGTTACTAGGCAGCAATGTAAACAATGCCTTCTCTGAAAAGTCTGCAAGGGAATGTTCACATTAATAGGCCTGCAGAGATAGGCAGTAGACACCAGAACAACTACATTAAGCTGTAGTTAATATTAATATTCATTGTATACTAATTTTCCCTACATTGTAGGCTTAGCAGCAGTATGGTATTTTTTGCAAAGGCATGGTAATCTCAATAAAAAAAACTCCAACAATTTATTTTAGACTGCATATCATTTGTTCTTCGATATAATTATATTATTCTTGGAGGTATATTTTAGTGCCAAGATACTGGGAGTTCTATGGTGATGAAATTTGCCCCGTATTTGGTACTCGGGAGGAATTATAGCAATATGTAAATTTTGCCAATTTCAATAAATTAGGTCTCAGTTTTTCATATGAATC